AAACAGGACTCCAGTCAGCCAACAGGTGAAAAGGAGGAACCCAGACCCAGACCAGTGGTCATTCCATATGTTGAGGGAGTCTCAGAGAAACTGAGACGTTTATTTTCAAAACATAACGTCCCAGTGGCTTTTAAACCCCAAAATACATTACGGCAAAGACTGGTTCATCCCAAAGATCCAGTCCCCCGGCACAAACAGAGCAATGTTGTATATGCTGTTCAGTGTCAGGAGGGCTGTGATCAGTCTTACATCGGGGAAACTAAACAGCCACTGGCCAAAAGGATGGCCCAGCACAGAAGATCAACATCATCAGGCCAGGACTCTGCGGTCTACACTCATCTCCAGGCCAGCGGTCACTCTTTCAGGGATGAAGATGTTCACATCCTGGACAGAGAGGAACGATGGTTTGAGAGATGAGTAAAAAAGGCCATCTTTGTGAAAAGAAATCGTCCATCGTTAAACAGGGGTGGAGGCCTCCAGGTTCAACTGTCCCCCTCTTACAATGCTGTGATTGCTAGTATCACTCAGCCCTCTGTGAACAGTAAACTGCCATCAGTGTGCTAATGATCCATTGTTAGGCTGATGGTCCTTCTTGAGCATGTGATCAGCTGGTTTTGGTTGTCAGCAGCAAAACTGGTTGATCCACTCTGAGACGGTGCTATTTAAGAAACTGAGCTGAATACAGCTCCTCAGACTGAGGAAGTCTCTCGGATGAGAGACGAAACATTTCTAAATTTTTTTGTTGATTTGCCTTTTTTTTTTTTTTTGAATGTCCAGAGGACCAGATTTAACTTTTTTAGATAAGACGTCATAGTTTAAAATCACGCATGGCACGGAAGGTTCCCCTGCTTAAATCAGCACACGTCCAGGCCCGTCTTAAGTTTGCCCATGACCATTTGGATGATCCAGAGGAGTCATGGGAGAAAGTTATGTGGTCAGATGAGACCAAAATAGAACTTTTTGGTCTTTATTTCACTCGCCGTGTTTGGAGGACGAAGAATGATGAGTACCATCCCAAAAACACCATCCCTACTGTGAAGCATGGGGGTGGAAGCATCATGCTTTGGGGGTGTTTTTCTGCACAAGAGACAGGACGACTGCACAGTATTAAGGAGAGGATGACCGGGGCCATGTAGTGAGAGATTTTGGGGAACAACCTCCTTCCCTCAGTTAGAGCATTGAAGATGAGTCATGGCTGGGTCTTCCAACATGACAATGACCCAAAGCACACAGCCAGGAGAACCAAGGAGTGGCTCCGTAAGAAGCATATCAGGGTTCTGGAGTGGCCTAGCCAGTCTCCAGACCTAAACCCTATAGAAAATATTTGGAGGGAGCTCAAACTCTGTTTCTCAGTGACAGCCCAGAAACCTGGTTGATCTAGAGAAGATGTGTGTGGAGGAATGGCCCAAAATCTCTGCTGCAGGTGTGTGCAAACCTGCTGAAACACTACAGGAAACCTTGACCTGAACCATCCATATACATATATATATATATATATACACACATCCATATACACATATATATATATATATACACACACATCCATATACACATATATATATATATATATATA